TTGATTAATATCGATTTAGAGACAACAGATATCACTAACACACAAAATATAAATAAATTTTTGTAGTTTTGAGATTCTTCGTTTTTTGATTTATAATGCATTGACTGAAAAAGCAAAGTTTGATTAAGATTATGGATGAGTAAAATTTGAATCGGCTTAAGTGAGAAAAAGTGGATGTGGTTCCAATTGGTTAAAGGGGATGAAAATTTGAAAATAATAAATAGTAAATTCGATAATTTTATTTATCCAATTATATTCAAATTAAGAAAAGAAAACTAGATTTCAAACAAATCAAATTATTCTACACGACATAGTTACAGCTAGAACGTCAAACGTGCTATGTATGTGAAGAAAATAAATAAATGAAACTAGTCAAATGGTGGGGCCTGACCGTCACTTGTTCATAATGAAAAAGACAAATAAATTATCAGCACAATTCACGACTGAGGAAAGATGGAGTTTTTTACCTAGAGAAATTATATATTTTTTTTATCAAAATTAAAGTTAATAATTAATATTAAGTACATATTTTATAGAATTCGTAATTTTTAACCACTTATTTCATCAATTTTTATCAAAATTTGCTAAAAATTTAATTTTAATTTTCACCAAATAGAGTCTCATATGAAAATACCATTATGTCCTTTGACTTTAATTTTAGCCCATGTTTGATGGCCATTATTTGAGAAAAATAATAGTTTGAATAGTGATTTTTAGGAAAATATTTTGCTAAAATGTAAGGATTTTTTTTTTTTTGAATTTACGTGTAGAATATTTTAATGTAAAAATGTATGGTTCAAAATGAATATATAGAATTTTTTATTTTTTTTTACGAATAATGATTTTCAAACGGGGCTTAACCATACTTTCTGGTGTATTTATAAGCATTATTCATAACTCATTTATATCTATTCATAAATTAAACTATTTATGAAAAAAAAGAAAAAAAATCTTCCCATATCGAGACGAAAAGTATATCCACGGACACTTTGGTCATTTGAAGTGAGGTACTACATACGTTAACTAGATGGTCAAGAACGTGGCATTTACGTGGCCAAAATCAAATGAATTAATGATTTTTGCGGTGCGACTAGTCAAATGAGGCAGGCCCGATCTCACTTTCTTAAGTTCATTTCATACGTTAATTGATGGGTGAAATTAACGGAGATAAGGAGACTCTTGTGGTGATGTGTAGGACCGGATGACAACTCTGCCACCAAAGAGTCAAACCACACGCTTGGATACTTTTCTTCCTGTGCATTATTTTCTTTCTTTCATTGACTATTGACCCATTCTTTTAACGCTACTTTTTACTTGCATATTAGGTTAGGGTGGATTTAGGGTTAATTCCCTAAATGATCATCGAACTTTTCTTAAATTT